TTTAAAAAAAAAAAAAATAAAAATTTTTATATTTTAAAAAACCCCCCTCAATTTGATTTTTTTTTTTTATAAAAAACCCCCTTTTAATTTAAAAAATTTTTTTAAAAATTTTTTTAAAAAAGAAAAAAAAAAAAAAAAAAAAAAAAAAAAAAATCAATCAAATAGATACAAGTGTTTTTTTCTCTCTCAATCAAAAAAAAACAACTATTATGATATAATAATATTATAATAAAAAAAAATCATTTAAATATAAAGTGTGTATTTCTATTAATAAAAAAAAAGACATATCTATATATGATACAATTTCCCTATCTCTTTTTTTTAAATTTTAGTATGCCCCCCACACATCAAAAAATACAATACATACAAAATTTCAAGTATACATTTTTTAAATTTTATTTTACTTTACATATCCAAGATACACTAATTTATATATTTATATTTGTTTATATATTTATATTTAATAACTATATTTATCTCAAAAAAAAAAAAAGAAAAAAAAAAACCACTAACACACACTCACAACATTTTATTTTAATGAAATCAATAAACACACAAGCACAGACAAACAAAAATTCACACACTTCCCCCCATACCACATAAAATAACACACACACACACATAATTGTGTGTATTTTGTATATTTTTAAAACATATAATCCTTCATTTTTTTAATATTATTTTAAAAATAATAATCAAAATTTATTTTATTTTGTTTTTTTTTTTGTTTTTTTTTTTTAAAATTTAATATTCACTCAATATACTTACCCAACAATCAAATCAATAATAATAGTTTTGTTTATAAATAATAATATTTTATATATTTATATTTATATTATATTTTTATCTATAATAATTTTTTTAATAATTTTATAAATTTTTTCTTTATTATAATTGTGTATGTGTTTTTTTTTGTGCTTTAACTATAGTTATAACTCAAAGAAAAAAAAAACAATTATAATTTTTTTTAATAAATAACAATACATATTAATTTTTTTTTTTTAATAAATAGTTTTTTAATATTCAATCAAAAATAAAACAAAACATAGAAGAAAAAACCATTTAAATTTTGTATAAATAACATAAATATAATAAAAAATGATAAGAGAAGAAGATTTTAATAATATAAATAAAATAATCAGCAATGCAATGCATAGCAGCAGTAGTACAAATAATACAGAGGAAGATTTTTCAGATACAAGCAGTGTTGTATTTGATGAAGAATTAATAAATATAGAAAACAATATACCGCAACATTTATCCCATGATGAAGCATCATTAAAAAAGGAAAGAATGAGGCAACAAACTGTTGTAGAATTTGTAAAAACAGAGGCAAATTATGTTAGAGATTTAAAATTAATTACCAAGGTAAATCAAACCTTAAAACAATTTCGAAAAACAAAAAATTTATTAACTTTTTTTATTTATTTTTATATAGCTTTATATTGAACCAATCAGAACTCTTATTGATTTAAGACAATATCAAGATGTATTTAGTTGCACTGAAGATATTTTAAAATACCACAAAGAAATTATTCATCAATTAGAAGGAATTCCCAATAGACCTCCACATTTACAAAATATTGGTGCTGTTTTAATTCCATTTGTAGGTATTGGCTATTATATAAACTATTAAATTTTATGAAAATTTCTAATATTTTATTATTTTTTTTTTATAAAAACATAGTTTGATAGTTTTGATTATTTAAATCTTTATAAAGAATTTTGTACATATCAGAATTCATGGAGTGACTCTTTAGATAAATTAAAATCAACATCTAAAATTGTATCACAGCATATTGAGACAGCAGAAAAGAATTATTTAAATAGAGGTTTATCATTCTCAATGTTAATAATAAAACCAATTCAAAGAATCACCAAGTATCCTTTATTATTAAAATCACTAATAGAAAATACACCACATGAACATATGGATTATAATTCAATTACTTTTTGTTATGATAAAATAACTCAAGTATTGGAGGAAGTTAACTATCAAAAGAAATTAGCTGATGAAAGAATTGAAAATGAAAAGAAAATTAAAGAAATAGAACAATCTTTATGTCCTCAAGATTTAAAATTAGTTAAATCAACAAGAAAATTTATAAAAGAAGGTTTAGTTGCAAAAAAAATTGATAGAAGTGAATTATTAAGGTGTATATTGTTTAGTGGTAAATATATATATTAAATATTTATAAATCATCATTTTATTAAATATTTAACATTAAATATTTTATTATTTTATTTATAGACCTATTAATTTTAGCAAAAAATAAAAAAACAAATTCAACTGTAAAATTAAATATCAATTTGGAAAATTGCCTCGTTAGAGATTCAATTGACTCATTACCAGGTTATAAAGAAGGTTTCGAAATGTTGTTACTTAATGAGAAAAAAGAAAAAATTATTGGTTTATATTTTAAAAATGAAGAAGAGAAAAAGGAATGGTTCACTTTGATTTCACAATTAGTTGGAGGAAATATTGATGCTACAAAACAAAATAGATATAGTTGGTTTACAAAAAAAAACTCCAATTATTTAACAAGCAGCACTAACTCGAGCATCTCAATGTCATCACTTTCTTCTACTTCCATTGATATCTCAATGTCACCATCACCCTATAGTTCAAGTTTAAATACAAGTAAAGAAAGCTCACCCAATCTTGAATCACCATCATTTGCAAACAAACAAAATCAACAACAAAAATACCAACAACCAAATACAATATCACTAAATTCCACAACTCCAAATAGCGGAAGTCTAAGAGATGGTAGAAAACCACCACCACCACCCAATGTAAAAGATATATTTGGTTTTAAACCCCCATCACCAGGCCCATCACCAAACTCCACACTTACTCCATCACAAATTGATCAAATATCACCAACTTTTCACAGCACGACTGTACCATCATCATCAAATTTTTCAAGAGCCAGCTCAGTTCCATCATTTTATAATTTAGATGTGGACCCATCTTCCAGACATAGTGCGAGAAGAATGCCTCAAACTATTTCATCGATTCCTATGTCAGAAATGGATGCATCATCACAATTACCACAAATAGTGCAACCAACCAATGGTAAAGCAAATAGACCCCCACCACCACCAAGAAATCAAAGCCCATATAACACTCTTAACCAATCAATCGACTCTTCCAATGAATATTCATCTGCAATAACTCCGCGCTCCGAATATACCCACTCCAACCCATCTTCTGGTATTAATACACCATTATCATCTAGCAGTGAATATATGTCAATAAAAAATTCAAACTCAAAATCCTTTAATAATCTGTTACCACCACCACCTTTAACCCTACCACCTTTAATAAATAAAAGTACAAGCTCATCAAATATAAATTCAACAAATATTCATTCTTCGCTTGATGTATCTTCAAATGTGCCACCATTACCCCCAGGAAGACCTAAAGGAAACAGCCCTGTTTTGGTTGGAAACCAACAAAATATATCCCCAAGAATGTTGGCACTTGATGCAATAACACCACAACGTCCAAAACCTAGAAGTCCAACATTAATAGGAAAAAAGAGTACAAGCCCAGTGCTAAATGGTAAAAAACATTATAAAACACTATCACCACCCAAGCTACCTCCCCCACCTCCAATTGATTGCAGCCACCTACCTCCCATATCATATGATGTAATAATGCTACCCCCTCCTCCAATCGCAACTGATTTATTTGACTCGCTACCCCCTCCCCCAATCGATGCTTTTAGTTTACCCCCTCCCCCACCAGAAATAGACTCAATACCAATCCCCTCACCAAATATAACCCCATTAATGCAACTACCACCTCCAGTAATGCAACCACCACCACAAACAACCCCACCATCAACACTAATGAGAGCCAAATCACCTGCAAATAAACCAGCCGTTGCTCCAAGAAATAAATCACCTGTTACAATAACAAACTGCCCCACACCTAATAATAATACAAACGCCATTAAAAATAATAACACTGCAGCAAATCCAAATAATAATATTAATAATAATGCATATTTAATAAATAATATAACTAATAATCCACATGTTTTTAAGAAATGTAATAGTGAAATGAATTTGCCACCTCCTCCACCATTAGTAGTAAAAGCAATGCCCGTTAGATCAACAACAAATATAAGTATTAATCCTCCCCAACAACTTACTCACAATAGTTTATCCCAATCAACTAGTGCTTTACCAATAGAAAATAAACAACCACCACCTCAATTCTCAACTCCTCCTTTATGTAATGTAATGAATAATGTAATGTCAAATAAAACCGCATTTAAACCATTCCCTTTAACAAAAACTACAGGTATGGCTTTAAATAAACAACCTCCACCACCCCCATTAACAGTACCATTCCAATTTAAATAATATAACAATACAATAATATCAATTACAATAAATTTTTATATTATAAATTTTTTAATATAATTAATTTTATAAAAAAATAAAAAAATAAAACTCTATAGATATCTATTTGTAATATTTATTTAAAATAATAATAATCCTAGTTTTATAAAAATAAAATAAAATTTTAATATTACAATTAAAAAATTAAAAGTTAATTTATTTTAATTTTTCGAAATGATTTAAATCAATCTATATTAGTGATCAATTGATTTAAACTAATTTTATTTTACTACCAACAAAACCATTATTTACAATGGTCTGTTTATCTTTAATATTATTTGAAGTATGTTCTATTTTATCTTATTATTAATATTATTATTATTATTTGATGATGATTATTATTATTATTATTATTATTATTTGATTATGAATGAACCTGCAATTCATGGTTCATAGAAACTGAAGTTATATCTTTGTCATTATCACTCTTGAAATCTTCATCATCTCCATCGTTTGTAGTTTGATCATCATCTTCGTCATAAGCCTCTGCACCGCTACTGCTATTACTATTTGATTCATCTTTTTGATTATTATTTTTATTTTCATTATTACTATTGTTGTTATTACCACTACTATTGTTATTATTATTGTTTTTAATATTATTTATATTATTACTATAACTATTTTGTTGATTATTTTCATCATTTTTACTTGATTTATTACTGTTTGTTGAAGATCTTAGATTATCTAATGAATATCTAATACCAGTTGGAGGTGAAATAGGTGGAGTATATAGATTGGTTGTATCACCATTATTAGTTTGAATATCTTGCTGCTGGGAGGAGGCTATAGGTAAGTCTGATAACTCTTTTTCATTATCTATGGTGAATTTAATATAACTTGGATATCTTGGTGGACTAAATGCCTCGATAAAATTTCTCCAATAAGATTTTTTGTATGGATTCCCCTTTTTATAAGTCTTTTTTATCTTTTCATTGGTGCTTTGGTTGGTAAATACTAAAAACAAATGAAATCCACCCAATGAACCTACAAATAGGAAACCTGCTAATGCGTACACTATAAAGATAATTGAAAGATAATGAGATTTACTCATTGCTTCATTAAAAACTTTAGCACTTGATGCATCTTCGTGATCTCTTCTATAACGTACTGCCTCGATAACAATATGTGCTATACAAAATCCAATAATAAACAAACATTTAAATCCCAATGTACATAAATAATATAAAAATGCTTGGTAGTTTCTTCTCCCTAAATAATATTGTTTAAAAATATATATTAATAACCTTTGTTTTAATTTGTAAATAGTATTTAATAAAATTCTAGAATCATACCTATACAATTTCCTATATATGGACAATGATGATCGAAATGCTCAACACAATTATTACAAATACCGCAGTGATTTGCTCTTGGTGGTTTATATAAACAACATGTATCTATTATTGATTGAATAAATAAAAAATTAATATCCTATACAATTATATTCGATATCTTTAATGATGATTATCACAACTACTATCACTTACCACACCACTTTATTTCTAATATTTGATCTTTAACTGTAATCTTTTTATATAAAGGTTGTCTTTGTGAAAATGCATCATCATCATAAACACCTCTTGGTATAATACCTGGATCTGTAAATGCTGCTTCGAGCATAAATATATATGATCCTATCCATAAATAAATTGAAACTACATAAATTGCAGGTGTAATCCATTCTTGAAACAAAGGGCATCTAGAAATTAAATTGTTAGAATAATATAAAATGATTACTACTATATCCTTTAGCGATGATACCTACATAAATATTAAAAAGGGTATTTCGGGCACAAACATTAAAATCAATGCCAGTATAAAATATGATCTATCAGGACCCGTTATAAATCTATTATTGAAAAATGATTTTGATTTAGATGCGTATGATTTTGTCATTCTTTATTTGATTTTCTTTCTTTTAGGTTATATATATATATGATTTGATATAGTACAATTTAATGGTGGTGTGATGGGGGGTGATAATACAGTAAGAAAAAAAAAATAAAATAAAAAATTGATATAGAAAAAAAAAATAAAAAATAAAAAATTTAAATGATGTTTTATTTGTTTATAAAAAAAATGATTATGAATTTAAAAAAAACATCAACTAAAATTTTTTAATCAAAAAATTAAAAAAATCTACACATATACACAATTATATTATTTATATTATTAATTATATTTATATCTAAAAAAAAATAAAATAAAAAAATAAAATAAAAAAAATAAAAAAATTAAATACAACAATTTTTTGGGTGTGGGTTTGTTTTTGGGTGAAAGTGTTGGTTTTTTTTTTATTTTTTTTATTTTTTATATTTATATATTAATATAAAATAACTAAATAAGTGAATATATATTATGTATATATAAGTGTAAGTGTGTGTGAATGAATGAGGTAATTTTTTTTTTTTTTTTTGTTATTATTTTTAGCAGCAGTTGGATGTCTTAAAAAAAAATTTTTACAAAAAAAAAAAAAAAAATAAAAAAAAAAATTGCATTTTTTTATAATTTTTTTTTAATTTTTTTTGATAAATTTTAGATTTAATTTTTTTTTTTTTTTCGTAATTTACCAATTTTAAAATAGTTTTATAAATTATTTAAACATTAAATTAATTAATAATTTATAATAAATTAAACCCATTCAAATCTCGAATTATAGTTTTATAATTTTAAAATATTTAGAATAGTTTCAGATAAATGGATAAACTCGTTGACGAATTTGTAGTACCAGGTGATGTTATTGGTAAAATAGGTGACCTTAAAGTTAGAATAGGGCCTGGTTTATTACAATCAAAAGAGACAGTTGTAGCAACTAAAGCAGGTGTTTTAAGATATAGCAAATTTCATAAATTTTATTGGATAGAAAATGAACAAAAAAGAGTAATTATTATTTTTTGATTGTATTATAAATATACATTTATATAGCTATATATACTAACACTGTTATACTATAGTATGTTCCACAAGTTGAAGATATGGTTATAGGTACAATTGTCGAAAAGCATGCGGAATCATTTAAAGTAGATATAGGATCAAGCTGTAATGCATTATTATCAGCATATTCATTTGAAGGTGCAACCAAAAGCAATAAACCATTATTAAATATTGGAAATTTAGTATATGCACGTGTAACTGTTGCAAATAGAGATATGGAACCTGAAATTGTTTGTTTATCACAAAAACAAAAAGCTGAAGGTTTTGGTCAATTAATTGGTGGTTATATGTTAAATTGTTCTTTAGGTTTATCACATTAGTAAGTTTATATAGTTATGATTTAAAACAATCATTTTTTATAATATTAATATCCTTTTTCCTTCTTTAAAATAGTTTATTATCAGAAGATTGTTATATATTACAAGTTTTAGGTAAACACATTCCATACGAAATAGCAGTTGGAGTCAATGGTAGAGTTTGGGTTAATTCAGGTAGCAATATAAATACTATTATCATTTCAAATACTATAATAAATTCTCAATTTATACAAGAAGATCAAATCGAACCATTTATATTAAAAGCTTTAGAAACTGCAAAAGAACAAAATCAATAATATAATAATAAAAATATAATATAATAAAACTACATAACAACGCGAATAAGATTATAATTTTAATAATATTTAAATTATAACAAAAAAAAAATAAAGTTTATAAAATAAAATTGTATATATTTAAACCACACACATAATCAAAATACCTATTTGTGTGACAAAAAAAAAAAAAAACTTTTTTAATATTGTTTTAAAAAACCAAAAATTATAAATATTTATTTTTATTTGATTAAATGTTTATTACATCATAGAAAAAAAATAAAAATTAAATAAATAAATATATAAATTATAAAATAAAACTTATTTTATTTAAACTTTTTTTTTATGTAACCTTTATTTTTTTTTTATATTTGGCCATTTTATATAAAGAGTGTTTCCAACAACGGGGAGGTTGGTATGTTAGAGCCAAAGGTTTATTCTTGATTAGTAGTTTCTCCAAGGATCTATTAGGTTCATG